GTGTTACCTAGCTTGGGTCATGAAACGTCTGCAAGAAAACCACTCAGCTAAGAGAGTACCAAGGATCCCTCAGTCCTCCCCCCTCCTCCTCCTCCCCCTCCTCCTCCTCCTCCCCTTCCTCTTCCTCCTCTTCTCCATCTTCTCTTCTTCCTCTTCCTCCTCCCCCTCTCCCCCCCATCCAGCAAACCCATCTTCCTTCCGGCACTGATGATGTTACCTAGTTTGGGTCATGAAACGTCTGCAAGAAAACTGCCCAGCTCAGAGAGCACCACTACAGTTCAACCGTGTGCTGCAAATGTTTTCTTCTATCGTGATTAAAATATATTAACAGAGTAACAGGGTTAGAAGGGACCCACTCTATCCTCTCTTTCCCCTCCATCATCTCTTTGCAGGCTAAACACACGCAGGTCCTTTAAATCGGGAGCCTTCAACCCTGGCAACTTGAAGCCCCGTGGACTTCAACTCCCAGAATGCCACAGCCATCTTAAGGTTGCAGAGGTTGAAAAACGCTGATGTATGCGTAGCATATCCACCTCTTGATGGTTGTGGTTCAGGGGTCTTCCAACTTGGCCCTTTGATGACTTGTGGACTTCAACTCCCAGAATTCCTCAGCCAGGATGCTTTAAGACAGGGGTCTTCCAACTTGGCCCTTTGATGACTTGTGGACTTCAACTCCCAGAATTCCTCAGCCAGGCACGCTGAATTCTGGGAGTTGAAGTCCACAAGTCATAAAAGGGCCAAGCTGGAAGGCCCCTGGTCTGGTTGAACACCAGAAGCATATCTGAGCTACAGGGGCGGGGAACCACGAGGAACATATCTAAGGAGGCATCAGGGATGGTCTTCTTCTCCACCTCTATAGCAAGTTCAGACCACAACAGACTAACTACTCTGTTGGGAAGGTCCGCCTGAAAAGGAGATGGGACACTTCCCGCTGGATCCTCAAGAATCTCTGGAATTTCCTGGAAAAGAAGATCAAAGAAGAAAAGCGTCTTGATTTCAGTAACTGGCTTTTCCAGAGGAGCTGGCCCCAATCCGTTGCCGAAACCTCTAGCAGCCTTGAAGAAGTGCCAAGGACATTATGTCAGGAAGGTGGTTTTTATTCTCTAGCCTGCAGTCAGGAGATGAATTATGTCTGAAATGGCATCTGGCATTTTCTTGGTTTTGGTCCAAGGGAAGAGCTGAAGGCTTTGATGTTTGGTCAGCTGGGACTGCATTGTTTCTACAATTCTGACTCTGTTGCTGTAAAAAAAACTAGAATGGAGTAGAGTAGAGTAAGAGTAGAGTAGAATAGAATAGAATAGAATAGAGTAGAATAGAATCTTTATAAATAGAATATAGAATTAAGAATAGAATAGAATATAGAATTAAGAATAGAATAGAATATAGAATTAAGAATAGAACAGAATATAGAATTAAGAATAGAATAGAATAGAATAGAATAGGAATAGAATATAGAATTAAGAATAGAATATAGAATTAAGAATAGAATAGAATATACACAATAGAATAGAACAGAACAGAACAGAATAGAATAGAATAGAAAAATTCAAAATAGCACTTGATAGGCTGGCATTAAGGGAGCCAGTTTGGTCTAGTGGTTAAGGCATCAGGCTAGAAATCAGGAGATGGTGAATTCTAGTTCCGCCTTAAGCATGGAAGCTGGGTCAGTGACTTTTGCCCAATCACCAGGCGACAGTGAGTTGTAGTCCTGCCTTAAGCATGAAAGCTGGCTGAGTGACTTTTGCCCAATCACCAGGCGACGGTGAGTTCTAGTCCCGCCTTAAGCATGGAAGCTGGCTGAGTGACTTTTGCCCAGTCACCAGGCGACGGTGAGTTCTAGTCCCGCCTTAAGCATGGAAGCTGGCTGAGTGACTTTTGCCCAGTCAGCAGGCGCCGGTGAGTTCTAGTCCCGCCTTAAACTTGAAAGCTAGCTGAGTGACTTTTGTGCCCAGTCACCAGGCGACGGTGAGTTCTAGTCCCACTTTAAGCATGAAAGCTGGCTGAGTGACTTTTGTGCCCAATCACCAGGTGACAGGGAGTTCTAGTCCCGCCTTAAGCATGGAAGCTGGCTGAGTGACTTTTGCCCAGTCACCAGGCGACGGTGAGTTCTAGTCCCGCCTTAAACTTGAAAGCTGGCTGAGTGACTTTTGTGCCCAATCACCAGGCGACGGTGAGTTCTAGTCCCGCCTTCAGCATGGAAGCTGGCTGAGTGACTTTTGCCCAGTCACCAGGCGACGGTGAGTTCCAGTCCCGCCTTCAGCAGGAAAGCTGTCTGAGTGACTTTTGTGCCCAGTCCCCAGGCAACGGCGAGTTCCAGTCCCGTCTTCAGCATGAAAGCCGGCTGGATGATTTTGGGCCAGACACGGGGAGATGGCGAATTCTAGTCCGGCCTTGTGTACAAAAGCCGGCTGGATGACTTAGCTAGCCCACCTCACAGGGTTGTTGTTCTGGAGAAAAAAAATAGGAGGAGGAGGAGGAAGGCGTGTTATGTATGTCCACCCCCTTGATCCAAGGGATAAAATAAATAAATATAATCGAAGCTCTCCCCCCCCCCCGGGGAACCTTTCCTTCGCTTCCCTAACCCGCTGTCTTCCTTCTCTTCCCTTGCAGCCCTCCGTGCTGAAGACGCTTCCTGCACCCAGATGAGCCCCCCAGGGTTGACGAGGCACTTGCGGCCCAGATAGCTGGTGGGCCCGCCCCACCCTGCCCCGCCCGGCAGAATGCCGTCCACCAGCCGAGCCGGCAGCCTGAAAGACCCGGAAGTGGCCGAGCTGTTTTACAAAGAAGATCCGGAGAAGCTCTTCACCGACCTCCGGGAGATTGGCCATGGAAGCTTTGGAGCCGTTTATTTTGTAAGGAGCCTTTATTTTGGGGGGGGGGGAGTGGGGGGGGAGGGAATTCCTGCAAGGGCACATGGGAAACTCCCTCGTCCGGCCTGCAAAGCCCTGCTTGTCCTCCACTGACGACCGCCACGGAGCCCAACGTTTCCGTTGCCCGTTCAGCAGGCTTCATCCCATTTTCACAGCCCGGTTTGGCACGGTCGTTAAAGCGGATCGCTGCGGGGGTTAAAGAGAGCCACAGTGTCCTTCAGCCAGCCTTTCCTTTCCCCGGTCGATTTAAGTCGGTTGCGCCTGGTTTTGCAACCTGATTTGGCCCGGTTGTTAAGGGAAACGCCGCAGTTGTTAAACGAATCACAGGGTCATTAAGCTAACCCGCCTATCCCCATCGGTTTTACTTGTCGGAGGCTGGCTGGGAAGGTCACGAATGGGGATCACACCAGCCTGGGATGCTGCAACTGTAGGGAATGCATGCCTCTTGCCAAATGTCTGGGTTTTGATCAGGTGGCCCTGGGGAGGCTGCAGGGATTATAAGTGTGAGATCTAGTCATAAACCCCTTTTTCAGCCGGTCACTAATAGCAATAATAACAATAACAGGAGGATCTGGAGAGACTTGAACACTGGGCGCTATCTAACAAAATGAAATTCAATGTTGAAAAAAGTCAGGTTCTACATTTAGGCAAGAAAAACCAAATGTACAGGTATGGTATAAGGGGGTACCTGGCTCAATAGTAGTAAATGTGAGAGGGACTTTGGAGCCCTAGTGGACAATCCCTTAAATGTGAGCCAGCCGTGTGCTACAGCTGCCAAAAAAGCCAACACAGTGCTAGGCTGCATCAACAAAGGGAGAGAATCAAGATCAGGTGAAGTGTTAATACCACTTTACAAGGCCTTGGTAAGGCCACACTTGGAATCCTGCATCCAGTTTTGGTCACCACAATGTAAAAAAGATGTTGAGCCTCTAGAAAGAGTGCAGAGAAGAGCAACAAAGAGGATCAGGGGACTGGAGGCTAAAACATATAAGGAACGGTTGCTGGAATTGGGTCTGTCTAGTTTAATGATGAGAAGGACGAAGGGGGACAGGATAGCAGCCTTCCAATATCTCAGGGGCTGCCCCAAAGAAGAGGGAGTCAAGCTATTCTCCAAGGAACCAGAAGGCAGGACAAGAAGCAACGGATGGAAACTAATCAAGGAAAGAAGCAACCTGGAATTAAGAAGAAATTTCCTAACAGTGAGAGCAATTAACCAGTGGAACTCCTTGCCTCCAGAAGTTGTGAATGCTCCAACACTGGAAGTTTTTAAGAAGAGACTGGACAGCTATTTGTCTGAAATGGTATAGGGGGTTGAACTAGATGACCCCCAAGGTCCCTTCCATCATCATCATCATCATTAGTGTCATAAATCACTTTTTCAGCTGGTCAGTAGTATTAATAATAACAATAATAATTACTACTATTACTACTACTACTACTACTACTACTACTTCACTAGATGAATAGTTGTAAGTTGAGCACGACGTATACTCAAAACTGGAAATGTATTAGCAGCCAAGGCTGCCTTGAGGAATTCTGGGAGTTAAAGTCCACAGGTCTTAAAGATTTACTTATAAATCTTAATATAAATCTTATTTATTAAGATTTATACAATCCAGCTAACCAAGTGATTCCGGATGGGATGCTGAAATGCAATGTATCGTCAAACCAATTCAAAACCAACACAGTGTTGTGGCTGCTGAGTAAGCCACGATAAGCGGCTGGATTATTTTTCAATAAACCTCCATGAAACTACGGCTTATCAGCAGGTGTGAACACTGTCCTATACATATTCCTGGCTTTCATGAGGATATGCTATCCAGCATTATCACCCAAGAATCTCAGTCTGATAAGCCATAATAGCTAATAGTTCATGCAGAAAACCCTTTTGCATTATTACTCTTTTGCATTTTAGTATTTAAGGCCTCACAGTTTAAGGATTGATATTATAGTATAGTTAGGCCATGCTGTGTTTTGTTGGTGTGTAACTGACAGATTGGATGCCAAATTGTGATTTTAGTATAGATTTTTATCAGTTATTTATTAGTTCATTCTAGAATTTTTAACTGGATATTCCTTGAGTGTTTTTAACTTGCTCTGGTCTTTGACTGTAATAAACATTCTATCATC